CTATGTTCAGCAGTGGACTTGTGAAGGGCTGTAATGATGATGATGATGATGTTCTCCGTGACTTCGCCTGTTTTTTTTTATACTAGCTGTGCCCTGCGGTTTCACCCGCGTCATCACGTGTCGGAGGTGCGCATGACCTAGTTCAAGCATTTTATAATTGCAATTATAAAATGCTAGAACTATTTTATTTGATAGCAATGGATGGAAAAATTGGCATAATTAATGGAGTACTTTTATCTGTCGGCATATTATGTATGATGTAGAGCGAAGTAAAGTTTTATCCACTTTTCATCCCCCTCCCGGTTGAGCAGTTCTCGCAGTTCTCACCGGGCGGCTAGGGTTTATGTGTAGTTCGCGCGCCCCGCCAAGTATTGAATTATTTTAATTTTACATTATCTCTTAAACTATGCGTCCAAATAACATGGTATAAAGAACAAAGTTTATCTTCATAAAATTGTCTTGATGATGAAGTAACTTTCGTTCGCAAGGATAAATAGGCCATGCCTAATAACGACGCTCATAAATCACTTTTAAGTTGTCAATATTTTTTTGTCACAAAATACCTAATTACGGCTTATGTGTAAGAAATAGACATATGGTACCGCAGACTTTATTTTAGATGAAGTAAAGATCTATATTTTTCTAGAACATTGTATTTACGTATCCCTAACGATAACACCAGCGTACGCGGATAAATCATTTCGGGAGTGCTTTTTCTTCTGACTTGCTTAACAAATATCCATATTTAAGGCTTGCTGAGTGATATAGCTTAATGCTGGATAGCCTATACTATTCCACATGAATCACGCTATAATATACAAAAAAGAATTTTTCAAACCGGACTGCTAGTTCCAGAGATTAGCGCGTTTAAACAAACAAAAAAACCAAAAACTCTTCCGCTTTATTATATTATAAATATATTAGTATAGATATAAGTATAGATTCTACTTAGCCAGCGCTTATCTATGATCCCACCTGATGTTAAGTGGTGATGTAGCCTAAGATGGTGAAGCGCACTGACTTAAAATAATCCTATTCACTCTTGTAATCGGATGGAAAGACAGATGCTGGCAACTTATTCCACTCCTTTGCTGTCCGCATGATGAACGACGTGGTGAACCGTTTGGTTCGAATGCGTGGTAAGTCAACAACGAAGGGGTGGAGACTGACCGAACGTCTGGTTGTCCTATGGTGGGAGGGAGAGGGAAGAATTAAATTATGCAATTCCTGCGTACACTCTCCGAAATGCATCCTTTAGAAAACCGAAAGGCTGGCGGCTACTTTGCGTCTGCGTTCGAGGCTGGTGTGATTGGTTTTAACCAAATTCGTCCAATTTTAATTTTTTTGCGCAGAACCCTATTTTTTCTAAAATAAAAGTAACCTTAGCTACTCCTTATTTTATCAGCTATCTGCCAGTGAAAATCCCTTCATAATCGGTTCAGCCATTTCGGAGATTAACCAAAACAAACAGACAATTTGGAAAATTGTGAAAAATTATAAAAATTTTAAGAATTGTGTTTTTTCAGTTTCATATGTATTTAGTAAAAAGCTGTTATTTTGATATTAAAAACAGACACTTCAATTATATTTATTTGTATAGATTTCAGTACTTATATTTATTTCGACTGAAGTAACAACTTCCGAATGTCATCAAAGTTTAGATGGAAAATGCAAATAGGCACTTGTACATATCGAATACTTTTAAAGTTTTGCTATGCTTTCGTACTCTCTATCTATTCCAATTTGTCAAGCAACTCCTTTGTTTTGAAAGAATAATAAAATAAAGTGTATTATCATTTCGATAGTGGTCTTATTTTTAAAGCAAAAAATACAATAATTCTTGTCTTGTGGAAATACTAAATAAAAGTTGAACCTAATAGAAACGATCAAGATTTAGTAACAGGAGAAAGGGCCTCCTGGATGGAATACGCATGAAATTAGCTATAGACAGATTAATGTTCTATTACCAAATACTAATTCATATGAGGAAGATTTGTAACCTCGCAATTTAAAAACGTGAAAGGTTTGTTGCTCGTAAACCATTCACGATGATTGATTCAATTTAGAACCGAGAAAATGGTTACTTTAACCGTTAAGGATTAAGATAGCAGCTCTATTTCTCTCTCGTCCGGATTCGGATGATCTCCTCTCTTTGTAAAACCCATGTATATTATTAACCCTTGCGCCGCCCCGTGCGTAGTGCACTTACTACTAATTACAGCTGCAGCATGGCTCTACCACGTAAATAAATTTCATTGCTATTGTCTTACTATTGTATCTGAAAATCGGACTGTGAAAGTGTTAACACATTTTGAGGATCACGTGATTGAGTGGTCAGAGTCTTGAGCATAAATCACAGCAATAACTAAGATGAATGTAAAAATATAAATGAGTGGTGTTAAGGTTAGGTTTAGGTTTTCAAATTTTATATTATTATGCAGTTTAAAATAAATATTTGTTACATATTACATACTCCCCGCGGTGTAGTGCCAAGAACGCTGGCTGCGTTTCCTCTCTGAATAATGTGTTATGACTCTCCCTATAATTAAATTACATCTTACACAACATCCTAATTTACATACAACTTTAACCTTTTTAGGGTTCCGTACCTCAAAAGGAAAAAAACGGAACCCTTATAGGATCACTTTGTTGTCCGTCTGTCTGTCTGTCTGTCAATACCCTTTTTCTCAGGAACGCGTGGAGGTATCAAGCTGAAATTCATACCAAATACTCAAGTCTAGTGTCCCATTGAGCTGTGAAACTTCTAAGCCAACCAGCCGTTTATGCCTCAAATTTTCGACATTCGCAAGGGGATCAAAACCTACCTAGGGTACTTTCCGTGAACTCAGAATCATGAAATTTGGTACGAAGCAACGTTTTATAGCACAGATAAAGGAAAAATTGCGAAGAGCATACATTTTTAGTTACATCATACAATAAAAATATTTTTAATAATTTTAAACTTATATAACTTCAGATTTGTTCGGAACTCTCGGTGCGCGAGTCAACCCGCACTTGGCCGGTTTTTTTTATAGGATAGGGTGACAAACGAGCACACAGTCGACCTGTTGGTAAGAGGTTGCTGTGACCAATAGACATCTACATCTACCTTCAAAAAAGAATCAAAATGCAGAAGCGTTGTTACCCGTGAGTACTATGATGTAATGCCTATTTTTCAGTAAAAAGAGTATCCGTTTCTTTACACTCACCATACGAAACACAACAGTGTTAAGCTGCTATTTTACGCTGGTATCCTGTGAGAGCGTGGTACTTCCCTGGTCGAGCCGAAACATTCGTGCTACAAAAGATTAACCTACAGATTAGAATACAGATAGGATACAGATAGATCTGATTATTAATAATCTCATGGGTGTGATATTCTGATACGTTAAAAGCGACAGTAGCCTAATGGTTAAAGATACGGACCGGGAAAGCCAAAATCAGTGGATTTGAATCTACCAATCGACTACTGACGTGAACCTCTTCTAAAACAATTATTTTAAAGCTTAGTTAGACTGGTTAGAGTGAGCATGCGAACAGCATTGCTAGGATTCTTTATTTAAAAAAAATGAGTCTGGTAAAATAAGTTCTTTATTTAAAAATTAAACTCATGAAACAAGTTTTTCTTTTAAATATGAGTATCAATATTACAGTCCTTACATATGTTTTTATTTATTTAAGCTCTTATTTTATTTTCCTTATTTGTAATATAATTAATTGTTAACATTTAATTTAGCGCATCATTTCCAAAAAGCTGTTTTCACGATGTTTATATAAATACTTATGTTTTATAAACATCCTGAAAACAGCCCGTTCAGAATGATAAATATATATATTACTAAGGATAACACACATAATTAACAGTATTCAATTTAATAGTGCTGTATTTTGATTGTATTATGTCTACTCCGCTCAATAAATCTATACATGTAATTGAGATTTGAGTGTCTATCTGTAATATTGAAATAATTGGCTTCTATTAAGCTCAGGGGATTATATGCATACTATTAAGACATAAACAAACATATACGTGGTAGAGCCATGCTGCAGTTATATTAGTAGTACCTATAGCTGTAGCACAGCTATATTATAGTTGTAGTACGAATGGGTCGGCTCAACGGGAGAAGGACCACGCTCTCATAGAATACCAGCGTAAAATAGCAGCTTAACGCTGCTGTGTTTCGTACGGTGAGTGTTAAAAAACCGGAGAACCTTTTTACTGGAAAGGAGGCAGTCCATCTTAGTCCTCACGGGTGACAACGCATCTGCTTCTTGATTCGTAATCGTTATAGATATAGATATCTATGGGCCACAGCAATCACTTACCAACAGTTGGAATGTATTTTTTTCACCTTATTAAAATTTATTTTTAAATTTTTGTCCTCTCTTTCTGTCTTTCTGTCTAGGCAGTTTGAAGAGCACCTCCTGCCCTCTTTCATTTGCTTGCTTGACTCGAGAGCGAGGAAGTGCTCTTCAAAATAGACAAAAGACATCATTTTATTTTATTACGCTAGTCTAAGCTAATTAATTTCTAACTTTAATGTAATAGATTTCCACAAAGTAACGCCTGATTATATTAAATAGATAATAATTATTTTAATATTGCTTCTTCTTCTTCATTAGCCCGTGGAAGTCCACTGTTGAAGAAGGATAGCATTTTCCAGGGACGATTTGTGTAAACGTCACCCTAGGCAGGCGAATTGACATACCAGACGTCTCGTCTTACGTGAACTGCAGAAACCACCAGTTTTTCTGCAGTTCCCATAATCGTATTTACGATTAGGGCATATCTACTTTATTAGTATATATTGTAGAGAATATAATTTTATGGCTCTGGATGTTACAATCTATAATATTATTTATATTGACTATGATATTTTATATTGGCTTATAAAAGAGAGGACTTTTGGGTGAATAGTACTTAAGCACTGAATTTCCAATTATCAAATGAAATACCAAAAACACATTTTTTTTAAAAATAATATAAACAATCTTTACAGTGTTTTGTGTACAAACAACGGCGCTGATACCTATTGGAGATATTTTTCTATACGGCAACACAGCAGCACTTGCTTGGAATCTACCAACGGATCCACAATTTTTACATATGTTTAAAGAACATGAAAAAGAATTGCGAAGACGAGGTGATTCAAATAAAAATATATACTACTTAGATGACCGCGGCAAGGTTTTAGCTAAAGTACCTTTTAGAAAGTAAGTATCACTATTTTAATAGTCTTAGGAATAGTTAAACTGCGTTTTCAAGTGATTTATGAACATTTCATGTATAATATTTTTCGATGATGGCACAACTAATTGTTTCTTTTGTTTGTTCAGTTAAACAGCTCCCTAATTTAGCATCAAAGATATAAGTAGAATGTCTTGGTGGGTCGTTGGTGGAGTACTTTTTCCATAGTTTTAAAACGAATATTATCTTTACTGTTAACACAACTAATACTGACTTTAACCCTTGCAACTATGTAATACTTGTTCTAGGATTGGTTTACGACAGAAACCGAATGGCGCATTCAAACTCACAACTTTTGACGAAATCAAATTCTCCGTAGCGCAGCGACTAAACGCTCAGTCGCGGCGCTGCAGGGCCGCATGTTCGAATCCCGCACTAGCACGTGTCATACAATCGCTAACAAATCTTTTTTATGGGTCTAGATGTGAATTTTTTTGAAATTTATATATTTACGCTGTCTCCACGATACAGGAGAATATCGTATTGTGGGGTGGAGTCACGTTTGGAACACTCTTTAACAAGTTAACTTTTGAGTTTCTAAATCCGCTATCATAACCATTACTCTTCTGACGGTTATGGGAGTTATTCACTTGTATGGCGCCGTGTACACTTATCTAATAATGTCGGATGTGAGCTAAGACACAAGGGACAGTTAAAATACGTGAAAATCCGACAATTATTTTGTGTTTTAACTTTTACTTCCAATTTGAATTCTGCTGGACATGGGTCGATAGCAGGAAGAATTTTTGGGTTAGCAATCGTATTACCAGATGTCATTTTTTAATTATTATAAGCCAGTGCTTGACCACAACCCCACCTGGTAGTTAGTGGTGATGAAACCCTAGATGTTAAATCACACTGTCTTAGCGTAACAAAAGCCTATTTACTCTTATCTACAAGACTCCCAGATTGTTATCAGACGAAATTCAAACGATTTGTTACTTTGATGCTCTGTTTTTTTGCCAGCTTGGGCATTTTATATAGATATATTGAATTTAAATAGGGTAAGACATAATGGTAAGTCGATGGATGCAGGTGGCTCAGGACCGTGGCTTTTAGGATTCCTTAGGGGAAGCCTATGTTCAGCAGTGGACTTATAAAGGCCTTTAATGATGATGATGAAGTAGGCTTATTAAACCGAGTGTATTTCTTATAGAATAGGGGTGACAACCGATCGCACAGTCCACCTGATGGCCATAAACATCAACATCTATTATCGATTAGGAATCAAAATGCAGATGCCTTGTCACCCGTGAGGACTAAGAATGCCGGTTCTCTACACTCACCACACGAAACACAGCAGTGTTAACCTGCTATTTTATGCTGGTATTCTATGAGAGCGTGGTCCTTCCCCGGTCGAGCCGACCTATTCGTACTACAACTATAATATAGCTGTATTATGGCTCTACCAGATATAGTTTAATGCTGTTGTTAAATTAATACTGTTGTCGAATGTTAAATACTACACGAAAATCATTCAGTTATGCTTTTCATATTTTGTAGTAATGCGCATTTAAAGTTATGCACGACTTAATATAAAAGAGGTGAAAATAAATGTGAGTGCATGGCGGGCTAGGGATGAATCTCTCCATTAACAGCTTAATACAAATGAAAGCACTTACTACTCTCCGGGCTGCTTTGCACTATCATACGTTGTGTTACAATATCAGAATGCATAACAAAGTATTTAATCCAATATCGTATCCTTGTGTGCAAATATTTATTTTACACTCTTGTACTATTTTATAAATTAAATAACATTCATAGTTATTTATTCAGATCTTATTTATATTATTTCTGATTTCATTAAAGAAGAGCAAAATCTCTAATTTAATAATTTAATATAATCTTTTTTTAACACTAAAGTAAATAAACTTTTTATTTTTTGATGTAGATAAATGAGAAATAAATTTTATTTGCTTAGATCTGCTTATTTTCTTCAAACTAGATAATTTACACCACTTCATTTTGTATGTGATCTTAGATAATTTAAAATTAAACATTGTGTACAGCCGACTTCAATATAACTCAATAACTATTGGTCTGACCTTGATCAAATTCATATGGGACCACACGAGAAGTACCTGCTTTCAAATAAAAAAATCATCGAAATCGGTTCACCCAGTAAAAAATTATGAGGTAACACGCATAAAAAAAACATGCAGTCGAATTGAGTACCGTCTCCTTTTTGGAAGTCGGCAGAAAATATACTTAATTTGACACATTAGGTAAAAATTATCAATATTTAGTCATCAATGATGATGACTAAATAAATACTCACAAGTCCACTGCTGAACATAGGCTTTCTGTATGGAATGTCATAAAGCACGGTCTTGAGCTACCTGCATTCATCGACTTCCTGCATGTCTTACCAGGTCGTGTGTATCACCATACACTTCGCCTACCGGTACTAGGCTGCGAGTCGAGAACCTTTTTTCGCCATCGGTCATCGGTTCTTCGAGCTATATGACTGACCCATTGTCACTTCAGCTTAGAAACGTGTAACCGAGGATAGATGTGGATGTCTATTGGTCACAGCAACCATTTACCATCAGGTGGACTGTGTGCTCGTTTGTCACCCTATCCTATAAAAAAAGAAAAAAAAGAGGAGTTGTAAGCCCTTTTACCGTGTAGTGGCGGTATAAGAATATACACTACCCCATATCGTCTCGTGGATGTCGTAAACAGCGGCTGAAGGAAACAAACAGGAGATTGGCAGCAGCACCTTCATAATGACAACTTAAAATAAATACTGCGGTTACCATCTCGCCTACTCAGTGTGGCAACTAAGGCTACTTCCTCCATATCAGTCTGTTATATACTGTTATTGAAAGATAAACACTGAATTGGAACGATATATTTTAAGTTAAAAAACTTAATTTATTTAAAATCAATGTAATGAATTAAATAAAACACATCCTTTCTTTATATAACATCATATTTATTTCGAGTCCTTTGTTAAATTATAAGTCCATTTAACGGTCATATTTTTATTTTTGTTAGAAATATTTTCCTATTATCGTTGGAAACTTGATTTAATATAAATAAAAATTGAAGAGCCAAATAATTAAAAATCGATAAATACATCAACAAATAAATAAAAGTTATGATAACATTGACAATCACGAATTGAATAAATATGTAGGAACATAAAATCTGATTGGAAAAACAATTGAAACTGTGATTTATTTGACAGGCCGTTTATTGTCAACCCGGCGTTTGCAAAAAGAAGCATTGATGACAAAGTAACGTTCAGAGAAAAATTGAAAATCAAAATAGACAGAATGAAAATGCACGAGAAACAGTCGAGAAGGGAGTTTTTGAATAAAGAGCATTTGGATAAAAGCAGCGTAGATTTCCACAGAAAGAGCCGAGTGGAATTATATGAAAAAATTGAAAAATTGGTGACATCGTAAGTATGCTTTTAAGTGGTAAATAAGGATATGTAAATCGTATAGTTCTAGCGCGAATGGGTCAGCTGGACCGGGGAGGGTCACGCTCTCACAGAATACCAGCGTTAAATAGCAGCTTAATGCTGTTGTGTTTCGTATGGTGAGTGTAGAGAACCGAAGACCCTTTTTTCTGGAAAAGAAGCATTTCATCTTAGTCCTCACGGCTGACAGCACATCTGCATTTTGATTCGCAAACGAGGATAGATGTGACATACGGGGACTGTGTGTCACCCTTATTCTATAAAAAAAATTATAAATGATATTATATATTATGTCGCATTCAACGAGCTTAATTAACATCCTAGCCTTTTCACTAAACGACGCCGTTCAACTAGCGGCCTGAATCATATGCCGATGCGGCTAATACAACATGCATCTTTTACTATCAGCGCCAGTAGGTTACGGCCAAGCTGTGTTGGCCTTCAGGCCACACTAATGCCGCATACTTTTATATAACACAGCACATAGCGCATAATTAGGAATAGACTAGCAAACGTCTCGTTGAATGAAGTTAATGGGGAACCATGCCATGTAAAGTTGCTGGTCTGTGCCTATATATTTTATTAAATAAATATACGCGGCTTTTAGGCCCCTGACCTACTATCGCTGAGCCTAGACTTTAGAAGTGCGTGGAATGTGGAAATTCTTTTATTTTTTTTATTACTTTGAAGTTGGCTTTTACTTTTTATTCAAAGTTTTATATATTTCTGACCCTTTTGAGTCGAATGAGGATTATCGCAACAGCTCAAGGCAGCAACTAGAATGTCGTGTCTTATTACATTAAAAACTTTACCCTAATTAATATCGGTGCTCAGTTAAAAGCGTATCGCATCATATACCAAAAAACAACATAGAGTCGAATTCAGTACCTCCTTATTTAAACACGCAGTCTTGCTTTTTGCTTAGCAAAAGGTAAGTGAAAATGTTAATCCAGAATAAGAACATTTTTTAAAACCATAATTATTTGTACAACCTTCAAGTCGTCCAATATAGATTCATTCACACAGCCACCGGATCACGGTGGTATCAGCGAAACTCTGACTTACACAGGGACTGTCAACTTCTGACGATTTCTGAACACTTCAAGGATATGTCTCAGCGCTATTTTGAGAGGGCCGAGACACATCCAAACCCGCTAGTTCTAAACGCAGCCACCTACGTTCCGATTCCGAACGTTACGCTAACCCTCCGTAGGCCCCGCAACGTTCTAATCGAACATAGCATAGCATCACAGAAAACATTTAAAAGTACTCCGTTAATTTTGCCAAGTTTTCAGCTAAAATTATTGAACAAACCTCGCGGCTGTCATCGGGCGGTTAGGGTTTATGCGACGTTCGCGCGCCGAGCCGAGTTTTGAATCTTTTTCATTTTTTATTATCTCTTAAACTATGCGTCCGAATAACATGCTATAAAGAGCAAATTTTATCTTCATAAATTTGTCTTGATAATGAAGTGACTTTCGTTAGTAACAATTAATATGCTATGCCTAATAATAACGCTCATAAATCACTTTTAATTTTCAATAACTCTTTGTCACTTAATAACTTATTGTGGTTTTCATTAACTATTACGCCAGCGCACATGCCTATACTAAGCCTATTCCCACGAATCTGGCTGTAACATACAAAAATAATTTTTCAAGTCGCATTCTTTGTTCTAGATATTAGCGTGTTTAAACTAACAAAACACAAAAAATCTCTTCCCCTTTTAATAATAAGTCTAATTATTAGGTATAAATTTTAGTCGTAGTAGTTGTAGCATCTTCTAATTTCATTATATCTTTTGTAAAAAAGTTAGGACGAATAAAAAATTAAGGAGTTTTACAGACATAATATATGTGGCATAGACAAATGTCCAAATATGAAACAATTGCTTGTACGCCATGTAAATTTTATTTCCCTCGAGACCTGCGGCACTGAACACTTAGGCACGAGTGCACGTTATGTACTATTAAATTTTGAATCATAAAATACATTGCAGGTTTTGTACAGTTTAGCCACCATTTACCGTAACCATTTCAGCCTATTAAAGTCCATTGCTGAATTTAGCCCCCCTCCCCCACCTTTGATTGCCTTTTAGGGGAGATATTTGCCAAAGTTGCCGCGCTTGGCAGGAGGGTTGGCAACCCCAGTTTTTATTATTAGACGTTATTAGGCACACGCTGCTGCCCATCTTCTGATTTGTTTCCCTTTGTTGCCTCTTACGACACTCACGGGATAATATGGTGTAGTGGATATTATTAAACCGCCACTACACGGTCTCAGCACGTTTCAGCACGTCCGTTTAGCGGCCCTGCTGAAGTAGCCCACGATCGCATGATCAATCCCATTCAGTTTACGTGACATAAAATATCTAGATCAGCAACGGAGAGCAGCGTCCAAGTTGCGAGACGTCTGGTACTGTGCCAATTCGCCTGCCAAACGTGGCGGTCAAGGCAAATCCTCCTAACGGGAAAGTTCAGTGGTAGATTTTGTGCTCTAATTGCTAATTTGTGAGGGATTCCGTAGGTTATAGCGTTTGAAATTTTCTGGAGACACCTGGTAGACTGCAGTGTTATCCTGATTTACTACTTACGTCTATGGTGAGAATGAAAATATCGTGAGAAAACTATATGTCTTAAAAGTTAATAATAAATCGTATACAAGCATTACCTGGACATTATTAACCGTGAAATGGCCGTTAAGAATATCCAATACCCGATATCATGCCGTGGGTGTCATAAGAGGCGACAGAGGGAAGCATATAAGGAGATGAGTAGCAGCGCAACTAAAAATAAAAAAAAATGCTTTTGCCAACCCGCTTACGAGGCGTGGCAATTATGGAAAATATCCCCTATATGGCAATCTATGGGGAAGCCTTTGATCAGCAGTGGACTTTAATAGGCTGTAACGGTCGACAATCATTTGGATAGCGCGGCCGACTCTCTCCTTAAAGCCTTTTCAGAATTCAGAGTAGACCAGTGTCCTGCAGTAACGTGTATAGGCTGAATGAGTAAACATTTTAAATTGTCAGATAAAAGTCATCTATCAAATAAATTATAACTTGACTGAATATAAAACTTAAGCAATTGAAGCATTTTATTCATACAACTGAAAATTTTAATTTGTTTATGTTGTTTCTCATCCCGTGAATAAGTTTTATCTGATGATTGAAAAATCGACCCGTACTTTTATGAAAATTTTTGATCAGAATTTAATATTTGACCACAAAAAGCGTTTTTTTTTTCTGTAAGTGGATGCTGTTCCCCTGCGGCCTTCACAGTTTCTTCGAAATAGACTCCTAAGAGATCTTACTAGTTATCGAGTGCATTGATTATGTTGGTGGTTACGCCGACAGATCATCAGTTACGAATCGACGAGGGGGGGGGGGGTGCTTTACGTGATTGAAGGGGGAAATTGAGTCTGTGAACTCGCTGGCGAACTCGATGTGCCCTATTATTCTGTATTATATCTTGATGTGTGGGCGTGTGTATGTATGTATGTCTGTATGTATGTATGTATGTGTATGTGTGTGTGTGTTTGTGTGTGTGTGTGTGTGTGTTGTGTGTGTGTGTGTGTGTGTGTGTGTGTGTGTGTGTGTCAATGTTTGTGTCAATGTTTGTGGATCGGATTCCCTGTCCTGTTCTTCAATTACATATTCTCTATCACTTTCACTTTTCATTCATCCGTTATAATCTTATTAAGTTTGATTTATTTTGTCTCACAACCTGTTATTAGAGTTAAATAGTTTAACCGCTTTATTGTATTAAGATTTAAGATGTAGTACTTTAATTAAGTATAATGTTCATTAACTGCAATCACTTTGACAAATTACTTGTGTAAGTTGTTGTGTTGGAGGTAACTTACAGCCACCTTGGATTACATACGTTGACAAAGTAAGCTTGTATAATAACTTTGTGTATTTCTAACTAATTATTGTGTTGTTAAGTTTTCTACAATGACAAATTATTTTTTAATTAAGTTGAATGCAACTTAATTAAAAAAGTTCTTACTTCCAAATTTCCTCTGTTATTAGCCTATTAAATTTTGATGGCAGAATCTAAACAGCCGAAAAAGAAAAAATTATGCAAGTTTGCATTGCAGTACCAGAACCCCTGGATTTTCAACACTATATCCACGTCTTCTGATTTTACGTATAATTATTCTGATCTTTTAATATAATTCTCATCTGGTATTATACAAGATTATACGACTACGATATTATATGAAATGATAGAACGGTACTAAACCAGATTAGCCGTAGGTGGTGTTTCGTTACCCCATTTTGTCCCGTGGGTGTCGTAAGAGTCGCCTCCTACGACACCTACGGGACACACTAGGGGAAACGCTAGAAAAATCTACACGCTAGGGGAAATGATAGAAAAATCTAATGGCTTCCGATAGATGGCGGTATAACCATATCGTTTACACCAGACGTAAAACCCTCAAATCGGCTACGGGAAGCAGCTTCAACGATAGCGTCTAATACTTCGATTTTCAAGCCGCCTGCCAAGCGTACGGCGAATCCTCTTGAAATGGGAGAGATCCGTTACCATTGCAGCCTATTAAAGTCCATTACTGAATATAGGCCTCCTCCATAGATTGTCTCATAGGTGGTATATTTAGCACAGTTGCTACGCTGGCAAGCGGATTAGCAACCGCAGTTTTTCATTTTTAGTCGTTATTAGGAAGACGATGCTGCCCATCTCCTCTTTTATTTCCCTATGTCGCCTCTTCGAACACCTGCGGGATGATATGGGTTATTTGATACTTTTACACCACCACTACACTATAATGGGAGGGATCAATGTATAATTTTACGTACTTATGAAAGAGAAGAAGATTACGAGATAGTTGTACCGCAATCTTTCAAAAATTTGTCTGGCATTTCTCTTAGTCGCCTGTTACAACACCCAAAAGACGATATCGCGCGTTGCATTATCTAAGTCATCGCCTTAGGTTTATACAAAATAAACGTTAACCGACGAAAAAAATGTTCAATATCTCAATAATTAAATCAAAATATTGCTGAAAATCTTGAATTTCATACCTATTAATTGAAGTGTCTAAGTTATTCGGTTGATAAATCACGAGCCACTTTAATTTCGTTTTCATTAAATTCCACGAATTCTCGATAAACGTATGAACGAGTCCGCTGATTGGCCCATTCAAATGATGGAGTTTTGATTGGGACCAATCATCTTGATTCTGTGATCGCGTTCTTGTTGAAACGTAAGGCAGTAATCCTAAAATTAAATTATGATTCAGTACCTACTCCTCGTCTTTATTTATTTCCCGTCCTAGATTTCGTAAAATAAAATCAATAAAAGTTCGTGTCTTCAATTAAAATGTTGTATCTAGTTACCTTAATATAACTGTTTATAAGAAGTAGGTACTCTAGTAAAATTCCAGTAATTTTGTTCACAGGTTAGGCCAAGACGGGCGACGATGCGTTCTTTACAAACTATGTGAATCAGCGCAGTCCTCGCAACAAGGCACATTCTTGCAAGAGCTCTTCAGAGCCATCTTTACGTAAGTATTTTAGCTATGTATAACCTGTCGGAAATATCTGCGAACCTCGCTGGAATGCGCTTCCCCTCGCGCTTCCCCGCACCTCCGCCCGTTATCGTCTATCCAGTACCGTTGCCATCTTTCCATATTGCATGACGTCATCAAGCCAGGTTCGCAGATATTTCCGCCCGTTATCGTCTATCCAGTACCGTTGCCATCTCTCCATATTGCATGACGTCATCAAGCCAGGTTCGCAGATATTTCCGACAGGTTATACGTGAGATTTATATGAATTAAAGTATAGTAGTACTATTACTGAGACATGTACCGAGTGGATGCAGTGTAATAGAATTCAATTTTGTTGTCTAATTGGTATTGTAAGAGAGGAAGCGGCGGCTGTAGGAAATGTCAGAATGCTTTCGCTGGGTGATAATTATGAATTCAATAGGTTTTGCAAATGGATCGGCACGTCCGAAGTTGCTCTCGCAAAATACCAGTGTAGGATGACTGCTGTGAAGAGAGAAGGTTCTGAATTCGACTGAATATTTTTATGTGCGTTACCGCAGAACTTTTTTCTAGATTAACAGATTTTGATGATTCTTTAAAGCTCGTGCTTCTCATGTGGTACCATATAATCTAATATTTCAAGATCTGATCAGTAGTTTTTGAGTAATCCTAAATAATGCGTATTTAATTGACTTCGACTACATTGAAGATGTTCTCATTTTATTTATATTGCAGTCGGTTGTACAAATTTTTACATTATATCACTTCTATAGTTATAAGGGTGACAAGCGAGCACACAGTTCACCTGATTGTAAGTAAGGCACTGTAGCCCATAGACATCTACATCTATCCTCGATTAAGAATCTAAATGCAGATGCGCTGTCACCCGTGAGGACTAACATGGAATGTCTCCTATTCAGAGAAAGGGTCTCCGGTTTTGTACACTCACCATACGAACAGCGATTAGCTGCTATTTTACGCGGGTATTCTGTAAGGGCGTGGTCCTACCCCGGTCGAGCCGACCTTTTCATGGTACAACCATAAAATAGCTGCAGCAGGGCTCTGCTACGCATAAAGTTATGACTAATTATTTTGAATGTACAATAATGGAGAGCTATCTTTGTTTCGGTGATAGTTTAGCACTTTTTTAAACGTCGATGAAAGAAGGAAAATCTTCCACTCGGCAAGGCGAAAGCCGGAGGAGCAGGCACTGCTCGTTGTTGTAACGGAGCTGGGGTATATATGTTATATGGATATTTGGAGAGTTGCTCGAAATCTTCGTTAGTTCGCTGAGTGATGTCCTCCAGACCACATTTTTGTCATGGCGGCCCGTCTCAACGGACTAGTCATTTCCGCAGGAAATATGTCTTCATTCCTTCATTGTCATAGTTAGATTGACCCTACGTGCGTTCCCAGGTACATGGATTGAACACTACTAGTTTTCTGGCTCCGAGCTTCTGCTGAGAATTTATAGACAGCAAAACTGAATAACTGGTTTTGGCCCGACCCGAGATACGAACCCAGGAGCACATGAGCAGCAGTCGCGTTTACGTTTACTGGACCAACAAGACAATTAATAGCTTGTCAGTTTGATTATTAGTACTGTACTTCTTCGTGCAAAAGATTCAAAACTTTTATTTGCATCAAACATGGTAAATACAGGTGTTAATTACATACACTTTAGGCCAAACATATTTCACCGCTTAGATAGAGGCATACAAATATCAAATTTAATTATGTGGCTAATTCAGTTACTTATTATTAAGTTATTAATTACAAAATATTAAAAGATACATTGAAATTAAAATTAGTATATAATTACTCATTAGATAGTTATTAATTATTATTAAATATAATAGAAATATCAGACAATTATTAATTATTACTAAATAGGATAAAATGTCAAAATAATGGTTAATTATTATTTAACATAATAAAAATGTCCATGATTAGTGAAATCGTAGTGATTCATTTGTCAAATTTATAATCTAGAAATTGTTTGACGCTGCAAAAAGTACTTTCTACGAGAAGATCATAGAGGCCTTTTCTAAACCTTGAGAAAGATAGTGCATTAATATGCTGAGGAATTTTATTATATATTTTGACACACATGTATAGGCAGCTTTTATTATATTTAGATAATCTAGGAATTGTGTCAATTACAAGCTTTTCAGGGTATCTGTTGCTTCTGATATGACCACTAGGAAGGAATTCGAGGGACTTTTTAAAATCACCTGTTTCCCATCACAAATATCGTGTTCAATATTTTAATTATTGTATCATATTAAATTACCAGCTGATTTACCTAATGTTAAGTAACTACATCGCAGGGTCTAATGGTTGTAGTGCGGTTACTGATCATATGGCCTTAGGTTCAAATCCCGTATCAGGAAAAAGTCTGTAATTGGGTTTTCTATCAAGAAATTCTCGGTAGCAGTCCAAAGTCAGGAAGTTGGCGGTGTTTCACCCCCGTGGTGAGAAAGCACATCAAGCTGTTGGTTCGCGTCTGACCTCTCGTCGGTCATATCACATTGCCGTCCCATCGGACTACGATTGGGCAATAGAGAATGCACCTGTGCTTGCGCACAGACTGGTGCACTAGAACACTGTCCTGTGCAGATGGCTAGTTTCTGGATGGCTACCGTGACCGGAATTCAGTCAGGTAAGGTATTGCAGCGCGTGGACACCAAAACCAATTTTTACATAAAAATGTTACAGATTCATTGTTAGATGTAGTAATAAGACGGAACGCCTTACAGCTTTTAAATATACTAACTCTATAAAAATTCAAAGTAAAATGCAGCAGTCGGTGCACTGCTTTTTAAGGTAGGAACAGGTAGGATATTGGTTTTATTTTTTTAACGTGGTGGAGCCAAGCTGCAGCTATATTTATAATATAGTTGTAGCACAAATGGGTCGGCTCGACCGGGGAAAGACCACGCTCACACAGAATACCAGCGTAAAATAGCAGCTTAATGCTGCTGTGTTTCGTATGGTGAGTGTAGAGAACCGGAGATCTTTTTTACTGGAAACGAGGCATTTTATCTTAGCCCTCAAGGCTGACAATGCATCTGCATTTTGATTTGCAAACGACGAGATATGTAGATGTCTATGGGCCTCAGCAACCGCTTACCATCAGGTGGAGTGGGTGCTCGTTTGTCACCCTATTTCTATAAAAAAAAATATTACCTACCCTGATTGGCCTTCTGGGTAGGGAGTGGGGGGCGGGGGGGCAGCCACCTAATAAACCTGTAAAATGCAGGAATATTAAATAAAAATATTCATTATATATAATTTAATTAGTCTTTTTATTGTTACAGATTACCCAAAGGTCCTTTGTTCGAGTCCAAGGTACACAAAGAATACGACAGTGCCCATACAATAACAGACAACTGCATGTCACTGTATCCGGGTTGTGATGATTTCTCAATTCCGTTAAAATTGTAAACATACATTTCAAATTTAATTGATGAATAAATTGCTTTAATATATTTCTGTTGTTTCTGTTTATCCCACATATAAACGTGTTGTGTTGTTGTCGTGAAAATAACACATTCATTTATTCATTCTCATCATCATCATTACAGCCCGTCACAAGTTTACTACTGAACAAAGGCTTCCTCCACAAAATGTCACAGGGTTCCTGAGCCACCTGCATTCATCGAATTTCTGCATCTCTTAGGTCGTTCCCTTCATCTAGTAGGAGGTAGTAGGTGGTCGAAACGTAGCTCTTAATATAGAGTTTTAAATAATCAATTTTTTTTACTCTAATTTTTCGTTAATTTCTACAAAATTTTGTCTATTAATTATAATTAATAAAGATAATCTTTACCTAGGTCCTATTAAAAAGAATCTAATTAAAAATATTAATTTTTATCAACTATCAGATTATGTTGAAGTTATGGACTCTAGTAATTCTACTACTACGTATTTATTATTACGTTACCAAAGTAATATCTTCAGATCTCATTATTAACATATTTTTTTAAATTATTAATTGTCAAGTCGTACTTCTTAAGTTATCTTTAATATTCAAAGACAGAATTTTTTGTATGAAATAAACTTACTTAGAGAAATAAAATAAATTGAATAGAATATAATGGCTACATTCACATACAAAAACATTTAGGAAAAAATCATGTGCTTGCGTTTTTTTCTTAAATAGCAACTGGATTAAACAAAACACACATTATTTTATGGTACATACCTAATATCTAAAACAGTTAAAGTTATCATGCATGGGAGAAGGGAGTGATGACTTATAATCATTAAATCATCATGACACATCTTCTCGTCAGACATTCCTCAAAACCTTAAAACGAAATTATATAACCAGTGTGTGTTGCCAGTGATTACTTACGGATCTGAGCACAGCGCTCAGCCATACTGTAATGCTAAGTCAACCGTGAATATCTGTGGCTACTACCTTGAATTTTGTATAATTTGTATTATTTATAACGTCATTCAGCGTAATCATCATTCATCATCATTACAGCCCTTCACAAGTCCACTGCTGAACATAGAACTCCCCCAAGGAATGCCACAAAGCACGGTCCTGAGCCACCTGCATCCATCGACTTCCTGCATATCTTACCAGGTCGTCACTCCATCTCGTGGGGGGTCGCGCTACACTACACTACAAGAACCTTTATTCCCCAACGGTTGTCGGTTCTTCGAGCTATATGGCCGGCCCACTGCCACTTCAGCTTACTAATCCGTTGGGCTAAGTCGGTCACTCTGGTTCTACTGCGGATATCCTCATTTCTGAGTTTATCACGCAGAGAAACTCCGAGCATAGCCCTCTCCATAGCTCGCTGAGCGATCTTGAGCTTCCTCATCCGGCCAGCAGTGAAGGACCACGTCTCAGTTCCGTATGTCATCATTGACAACACGCACTAGTTGTACAGTCTCGTTTTAAGTTTTGAGGTATACCTGACGAGAAGATGTGCCGTAATTTCCCGAACGCTGCCCAACCGAGTTGAATACGTCGATTGACCTCTCGGTCGAAGTTGGACTTACCTAGTCGGACTATTTGTCCCAGGTAAACATACTCGTCAACAACTTCGAGCTTAGTGCTCCCAACAACTACCGGCATAGGTGTGACATGGACATTAAACACGATCTTTGTTTTGTCCATGTTTATCTTAAGAGCTATCCGTTGGGAAGCACTATTGAGGTCAATTAGCATAGTGCTTAGGTCCTCCAGCGATTCTGCCATAAGGACTATATTGTCGGCAAATCGAAGTTGAGTGATGTACTCGCCATTGACGTTGATCACCGTAGCAGTCTATCGCGTAACACCTTATTCTTTTCGTCTGTCTAATTTAAATAAAATAATGGGTTTGTAGTGAGTGCTTAAGTCTCATTTATCGTGTCAACAGTTCTTTATTAAATGTACTTAAGCCAGTGATATTTTGTTAATGTTAAAGTATTCTGCAATTAAAACTATATCAAATAATTACAAATTATTATCCAGTTTTGTGAAGTGTTCGGACGGAACGCGTAAGCGCCGCTATATCATCGGCTCTTAGGCCGTTTTGCTCGCGACCTTTTTAACACAGCAACAGTGATACAGGTGTAGTTTTATGTTTCTGTTTCTACCGCGCATCTATCTTACATTTGAGACTACATAGCTGGATATTGTTGTTTACTCATAGAAACACTACAATGGATTGCTTTAAGTGTAAAAAAAAATATTGCTGAAAGGGATGTTATTAAATGTACGGGATGTAATATGTACATGCATTATCAATGTGCTGATTTATCTGAAACAGAGTTCAAAAAAATCCTCCCTATAAATAAAATCAAATGGAAATGCCCACCCTGTAAAAATAAGAGACTTGCTGGTACGTTAGGAGGGACAGTGTCACCTAAGTTTAAAGATTGCACAACTACGTCTATTTTAAACGTCGACACCGACGCCTTGACTGAATATATGGATGCGAAGCTTGACAGTCTGCGCCAGCAGTGGCAGGAGGACTTAAATTCAGCCATACAAAAAGTATCTAAAACTTTTGCGCAAAATATTAATAGGCTGGAAAAACGTGTTGATTCATGGGAGGAGCGCATAAAGGAACTCGAGCAAAACTTTACGGCATCGCATAGTCCTGATGTCACCCTGATGCAGGAAAACAACGAGCTTCGCGCAGATTTGGAGAATTTACGTGCCAAGTTTGATGACCTCGACCAAGCCTCTCGCAGTTGCAACGTGGAATTACAAAACATTCCTGAAAAAAAGGCTGAAAATCTGATTCATTTATCTATAGAGGTGGGTAAGCTAATTGGCGTCGATATCAAGGCAAGCGATATTAGATCTGTTGTTGTGTGTGTGTACATTGTACTGCAGCTGACCACACGACGACTGCGTGATGATATGATAGCGGCGGCGCGTTCGCGCTGCACACTCACCAATACTCAGTTGTTTGGCTCTGCCAACAGTGCCGCTGCTACAGCTCAAAACACACGATTCTATATAAACGAACATCTGACACTAAAAAATAAAATTTTATTTAGTAATGCTCGACAACTGGCGAAGTCGAAGGGATATAAATTTGTGTGGGTCAAAAACAGTTGCATTTTGCTACGGAAAAATGACGATTCACGTGTGATTCACATTCGTAGTACTAATGATTTAAGTAAAATATGACTATTTTATTACGTTTACTTGTTTATTAATATTCCAAAAGTAGCATATTTTAGTAGTTTTATTATAAGTTTTTGTGTATGTTGTTTACAATACTCAATACAGCGACAGCGACAGATCGAGATCCATAATTTTATAGCAAACAAATTTATAAATACACTTTTAATTATATCGGTTGCATTTCTTTCTCGTGATGGCTTCTAATAAGTTACTTATATTCTATCAAAATTGTGGAGGCTTAAAAACTAAGCTTACAGACATAAAACTAAATTTACTAACTTGTAACTTCGATATTGTAATTTTAACTGAAACCTGGCTGTTGGATACAATTTTGGATGCTGAAATTCAAACTGATGCTAATACAATATTTCGACGCGATCGGAACTGTATGTTATTTAATAAAAAGGGCGGTGGCGCGGTGCTAATTCTTGTTAAGAAATCTATCCATGTTGTTAGAAAACTTGACTTAGAGGCAACCGATTTAGAAATTATTTTTCTTCATTTCCCACATTCAAATTTATTATTGAGTGCATGCTATATACCACCAGCATCTAAAACTACTACCTATGATAAATACTTTTATATACTTTACGACATTCACTCAAAGGCATTATTCTCACATTACATTATTACTGGTGACTTTAATTTACCCTACATGGAATGGTCATCTGATGGTCCATCCTTGAGACCTGTTAATGCAGTTACTGATACAGCTAAATTATTGTCTCATATCATGGCCTTTATGAATTTGAAACAAATAAATACATTAAAAAACGAAAACAGTAGAATTCTTGATCTTGTTTTATGCAACTCACCTGATTGTTCAGTTAATATCTCCGATGATCCACTCTTAAAAGCCGTTCCTCACCATCCTCCGCTGGACATTTTTTATGAAATAACTCAATCCAAGTATATGCCCACCAACCAGAAGACAAAACGAAACTTTTACAGAGCAAACTATGACCAAATTAATACTGCTATATCGGAGACTGATTGGGTTTCTGAACTCAGTTCTTCTTGTATACATACTGTAGTTGACAAATTTTATAACAAAATTATGCATGTTATTAAATCTTATTTACCACTTGTCAAAGTTAAAACAAATAGATTTCCTAAGTGGTTCTCTAATAGCTTAATTTATACACTTAGGCGTAAATCTAAAATGTGGGCACGATGGAAAACGTACAATTCGTTACGTGACTATCAAGAGTTCTCCCTATTAAGAAAACGTGCTAAACGTCTCTTAATTAAATGTTACAATAAATATATAGAGAACGTTGAGTCTTCAATAAAGGATAATATAAAATACTTTTGGAAATATACTTCAGATATAAAGGAAACAAATACGGGATATCCTCAAGTAATGAAGCTGGGAACTAAAACTTCAGACGACCCAAAAATAATTTCTGAAATGTTTTCACATCATTTTAAATCCGTATTCGAACCGTTGTCAGACAATGCATATACATTAGCTCAACACTTAGAGGATAATTTTACTGGAACAAACTTACATGACATACGTTTCACACAGTTGGAAGTTTGCACTGCTTTAAAAAACATTGATCCAAACAAAGGCGCTGGACCTGACAAAATAAAGCCAGTGTTTTTAAGACACACTTCTAATACAATTTGCATGCCGCTCAATATAATTTTTAACAAATGTTTGGAAAATGGAACATTTCCAACTCAATGGAAACAAGCATACATTACACCTCTTCACAAATCAGGTTCTAAGAACAACGTAGAAAATTACCGTCCAATATCAATTCTTTCGGCTATTCCTAAAATTTTTGAGAAACTTATT